ACCTATTATGTTTAAAATTTGGGAAAAAATTATTAATTTTAAAGATTTCGCCAATCAAAAGAAATTCAGAATTGATACAAGACATATTTCGTGAGAGAGATATTACTTTTCTCATAATTCACAATCATTTACGTTGTAATTTTTGAACTTGTGACTAGAATTGCGAGTTTATGTTAAAATATTTTAAATTTTTTGATACACAATTTATTTTAAGAGAGTGATCAGACTAAAAACAGATATTATTAGGTGTTCGATATGAAAAGAGAATATTAATAATCTATAAAAAAATTTTCATTTAAAAAAGATTAAAAACAAAAAAAAAATCTCTCTTTTTCTCTCGCTCTCTCTCGTACGACATTTTTGTTTTTTACTAATAATATAAATTTAAATTATATACATACATATATAAAATTACTACACTATTTCCGTTTTCAATTTTTTCTTTTTTTATTTTCTTCAACTATATACGATATTATTACGAACATACCTACATAATAATATGTATGTACTCGTATGTATGTATATACATTTTCACGCGCTCACAAAATATAATCGAATTAATTGATATGAAAAATTAGTTTTGTAGCGGAAATATTATTTATAAAAATGTTTTGAATATTTTTATAATTTTAAAAGTTATACAAGTGTTTTTTTTATATAATAAATACCAGTATAACAGATAATTGATTTATTCATTTTATTAAATAAATCGCTATATTTAATCATCATCCATAGTAGAAACCTTAGGTGAATAATAATTTTACTGCGGTTGAAATTGATTGAAAGATTTTTGCAAAACAAAAAAAAAAAACTGGAATGGCATGGCTGCTGGATTGTTTATTAAACGGTAATCGATTTCTTGGATGAATAAATTTGGTATACATAACTATAATTTTAAATTTATTGTGAATTTAAATCAATTTATATATTTAAGTAATTTATATTTTTTCTAATTTTGGATTTAATAATCGTCTGGAGAATTAAATGAAATATTTAAAAGAAACAAAAAAAAAGACAAGATAAAATATCGTAAAAGAATAGGATACTAGTAGATTTCTAAAAGTAATTTGTTACTCACCCACTGTACGTAACTTTAATAATTGGATGACTTGAATAAATCAAAGAATTGCGTGAAATAAACAAATTTGTAAGGCATATTTAGAGCAAAATCCTTATATAAAATTACCATACAAATCTCATTACATGAATGATTACAAATTAACATTAATATACGATATAGGTCTGTATAAAATTGTTAAAATTAGAAGGATAAAAAAATTATTTTAATTTATTCATTTAAAATTGAATTTTGGGGTGATTTCAGCTTTTAAAAATTTCCAATTTAATAAAAATAATAAATTGTTTAAAAATTCAAATTTTCATTTAAATAAATTTTTTCAAAATTCAATTTTATTTATGAGATCATATTTTAAAATCGCATTTTCGGTTAAATAAATCAAACATTATTTTTTTCTTAACAGGTACCGAAGCCAAACTTTCAGCTGTAGTGTGATGAGATTCTAAAATTATTAATAATATTGATTAAAATTCTTGTTCTCTATCTTAATTTCCTGCATCTATTTTGTATACATAGTAAAGTGTTTCTCTCTGTATCTACGAAAATGATAGTGGTTCAATACAGTTGCCGTAGTAGTACGCGAGTTGCCATAACACAATTTACGATATACAAAACCCTATTTCAAATTTGGAGAAAAATTCCCTAAATTTACATTGCAAGTATTTCACTCTCAAAGTATGATATATAGTGTGTATAATATTTAAAAAAGTATAATCTTTTATATTATGTATAATAAAAATAATAATCTTAAGTGATATGACCTGACAAAATATGTAAATATAATGCCATGTCTTCATTTACATACAAGTAAACCACTTGAAATTTTCTTTATGGTCATATACATTATATTGTTGCTAAGCATTGAGATATTTAAAATTATAAGTACTATGTGTACATAAACGCATATACACATTAAATGAGTACATCAGAAATTAATCTAAAAAAAAATACTCTGTATACTTTTTAAAATAATGAACATTAAGATAGATTTAGATGATATATATACATAGGTGCCATTATTGGACTTAATTTGACAATCATTTTATACAAATTAAATAGAATGACAAAATATATGCGTTAAATTACAAAACCCCACATATTATGTACCTTAATGTTAACTTAGTAAAACTGTATAATATTCCACTTGTTTTCAATAAACCACTCATAAATTATCAAGTTAAAAAATAAAAAAAAATGGTTCATGTCTAGTGTAGAAGAAAAGTGAATATGTATATAAAGTATAGAAATGTAAGCGAATTTTAACATGATTAAAATTCATGTATATATGGCCCTATATATGCAGAAATATGAAATAATATACATTAAATATGCAGCTCTAATTACATAATACTGCAAAAATGAGCTAAAAGCAGAAAATTATGTAGCAACAATTGTGATAAGTAAAATGTTGTCAGTAATATTTGAGTTCCGTCTACTTTAGGATACAAAACGGAAATGTTCAATTAAAAAACTTTCGGTAATTAATTGGCCTTGAATTGTAAGCTGAAATGAGTTCAATGCCGTTCTCAATTAATTTGATATTGTCCTAGATAACAGAATTCTAAAATTTCCTTTGTCAAAAAAAGGGAAATTTCTAAATTTTTTTCTCTTTTAAAATTTCAAAATCAATGAGAAATTTATTGATTATCGTCTATCGAATCAAATTAATCTCAACTTTTCAAGTATGAAAAAACAAGTTTCAAAGAGTATAACAGTTTTAACGAAAAAAAATTTATGAGCATGACATTAGTATAACAGTAAAAATTACGGTACATTCACAATACTTCGAAATTTTTTTCTATTATTGTATTATTAACGGTGAGTAAGATTTATTACACTTCATATTTTCAAACTAAGTTCTATAATTTTACTCTATCATTATTTATATAATAGAATTATATTATAAAACTATGGAGAGCAATATGTACATATATATTTACATACATTCATAAATGCGTGTATGCATATTAAATTGTATGACATAACGTTTAGATGGTGGTAGGTCAGGCACGCATCATTCTTTCGCTGTCCTCTCGTTATTTTATTTTTCTTCCTCTTTTTTTTTTTTTTTTTGTTTTCTACACTTTGCCAGCGAGTATATTTAAATTAATGTTAAAATATTTATATGCATTTAGTAGCAACCATTCAACACCTCAATAATAATAATAAAATTGCATATAATTATAAATATAAATACAACGACTACTTTGTCCTATATGCAAATGTAAATGTTTAACAAAACAAAAAACTGGTGACAATATTAAAATTTAATGAAACTATAATATAATAAAAATATAGGGTAAAATAAAAGTATTGTACATGTAATATCGTATGTAAGTGTATTTAAACGAAATACATACAGAAATTTATAGTACATTTGTTCGTCTGTATGTACAATCAAGAGAATTAAAATTTTCTTGTACTCTATAATGCACAAGAATGTAAATTGCATTCTTAATACGAGATGAGCTCATCGTTAGTATAGAATTAAACGAAAATGTATGTCGGTATATATGGTAAAAATATTTTTAAAATTCAAATTAAATTTATTAAAGCAAATGTTCGGATGTATAAAAGGAAAATAATAAAAATAAAGAAAAAAACATGGTGCATTCCAACCATACTTATAGTGGGGGCAAGCAGGTCAGACTCTCGTAAATGTGACAAAAATTTATACAGAAATGAAAAAAAGAAAGAGAAAAACTGAACAAGAATGTTTCCCAATATGTTGATCGAAACTTTTTTAATAAAAATAGGAAATCACGTCATAGGAAATAACGTCACGTTTCTAAAATAAATTATCATTTATTTTTGGTAAAATCATATGGGAAATGATTCATAATGATTAATCATTTCTCACAATTGTTAAAAAGAGAGAAAAAATACAACAATATTAAAATTTTTATATGAAAAGTTTTTGAATATGTAAAGTGAATTTTATTGCAATATTTTTCATAATACCAAAAATCATGTTTGATCTCCCGTCTCCGAACGGGTTACGAACTTAAATAAATATTAAGGACGACAAATCTTTATGACCGTGGTAGTGATTTCGGGGTAAATTAAGTTTAAGTAAATTATCTTTGACAGTCATTTGTGGTGAATATTTTCAATGATTTAAACAAAAACTGAAAGTCTGTTGGATTGAAATTAATATTTCTATTTAACTATTATATTTTTTAATTGAATTTTGATCTATAGAAAATGGTGAATTTAAATATTGAAAGTATTAAATTCACATTGTTTTTGGTGATGATCGCCATTCTGGAATACTCATATCGACAGGGAAATCGAAAGACCAGCGATAGCCTTGTGTACGTGTAAGAGTTTTTTTGGCAAAACTTCGTCACTTATACGTCTGTGGTGTGGTGCCGCAAGGTGGAACATATGGCTGTGTGTATGGAGTAATGCGGACGGCTCTAATGAGTACTCTGGAGACATTAGTTGGACTGCCGCAGTTGTACCTGAAATAGTAGAACGGTATTGGTTCCGCTCCAATAGACTCAGGTCAAATCCAAGTTGTTTGAAGCTGTGTTCAGTGTGATTGAGCTGGTACCCACATAATACTTTTTAAACTCAATAAACAGTACTATAAAAAGTTCAATATTCGAAATGTTTATAAACATTGTATAAATTTAAATTTCGTTTTTACAACACAATATTCTCAATATGCTTCTTCTTTCCTTATCCGTCGTCGAATTTATTTTTATATCCGGTAAATATTATAAAAGAATTAAACATATGTACATATTATACGTTATATGTAAAAACAAGAATAAAACTTTTACTTTTGAAGTAAGCATCCAAAATAAAAATATTAGAGTGTTCTATGTATGTATGTATGTCCAGGCATGTGTTAATGTTATTAATTAATATTAAGTATATTATATAAAAAAAAAAAATTTTTTATAATTAATCTTACCTTGCTTAGTTTTTCACCTTCATGATGTGGTAATAGGGAACGTAAACTTTGAAAACCAGCATTAATACTTTGCATACGTCTACGTTCATTGCTATTAGCAATTTCACGACGTAAACGTTTCTCATTTTCCATCATAACTTTTGATGTTTGTATTGGAGTTGATTGTTGATTTTGATTTTTTGTTACTGTTATTGTTGAACCAGTTACATTTTGCTGATTTTGTAATTGTTGTATTGTAACTGTACGTAAGCCACGTGGTGATGATGTTGTTATTTGTTGTGGTTGATGTGATGTTGTTGTTGTACCACCTGAATGCTTTTGTGTGGATATCGTTTCGGTATAAACCGTTTGATAACCCTCACCCCCAGAATCATCTAACGCCAGGCTAAAAATAAAAAAAAAAGGAAAAATTAAAAAATTTAAAAAATAAGAAATGAAAAAAAAGAATAATTTTAAAAGTTTTTGACAAAAATTCAAATGCGGCATTAATTCAAAAAAAAAAAAAAAAAATTTCTTGAATTGAAATCGTTTTATTTTTTAATTTGCAAAATTTATTCATTCAGATAATACGGCATCTACCACAATCAATGATATTCTTGATATTCTACGCAATCAATGATATTGCGTAGGTACGCATATTTATGAAATATTTATTTATTTTCCAACATTCATTCAAAAAATGCCCCATTCAAACATTACGCATAGTAAATATGTATATATTATGTACGTATAACAACAAATGTAGTAAAAACGCTATAAATTAACGCATATAGGAAAAAGCTAGAAAAATGTTTTTGTATTATATTCTGAATGAAAATATGAAAAATTTGTCCATGCATAAAATATATGTGCGTGTTTTCGCTACGTAAGTTTTAAAATTTTTATAAAATATAAATAAAAAATGCACATGAATTCTTTGGCGGGCATTATATTTTTGTGAATAAGTGATGAAACAAATAGTAAGAAATGTTCCATACATGTGTATGTGCAATGTACGTGAATATACCAATAAATAAGCCGATATTTATTTAAAATTAAGGAAATTTAAGCTTACGTACGTTCCCTTGCGGAGCAAATGCGACTTATTTTGTTTATCTATTTAACGAACAACTGGTATTATCAAGTTTTTGAGTCTTACAGCTTAAATGTTTTCACTTACAAAATTTAAATGCCAAATCTATATTAATTAATCTTTTTCGGCCAAAATTAAAAGCTAAAACAAAAAAGTACAGTCTAACTATTATAAAAAAATATCGATATTAATTTTTATTTGGTATCATAGCAGCGTAAAAAATTACCCTCAAAATAAAAAATAAAATGTTGAGAAAAAAAAAAACTTTTTACGTCCCGCTAATAATTCAAAAAATTTATAAATTAATACTTTTAAAGTAATTTTCTCTTTTTTTTTCTAAACTAATCAACAACAAACAAAACAAATTCTGGTAAATAATTTAAGGTAACCAAAGACCATATAAAGAAAAAGCACAAAAAAAATCCAAAAAATATTCATTACAGTTCATTTTTCAAATTTAATTCAAACAAATTCTATCTACGCCTCTTTGTCTCATTTAATCGATTTAACAGTTTAAAAGCAGTTAACCAATAAAAAAAATCGTATAAAAGTTATATAACAAATGTGCCGTGTATTAAAAACCAAAACTAACAAAATAAAATCTAAAAATAGACGCATTAGAAAAAAAAAATATTCACTTGCAGTTCGTCGGAAAAAAAAAATAAAAACAAATAAATTATTCAAAACCCAGTGCTCATTTATAATTTTATTTCCACTGATAGCTTAAATTATACGAAAATCTAGAATTTCGAAAGCAAAATTCAGAATGTCAGAATTATTAAAACAAAATTTAGATTGTTGTTGATTTAAAAGTTTAGCTAATTTAATTTTTTAAAAAAATTCCAATGTTAACAATATTACACGTGTTACGATATGACAACTAGAAATTTTTGAAAATTAAATTATTTATGACTACTTAACGAAAAAAATTTATTTCGGAGTCCAAACATGAATCAACCCACTCGTATTGCATTTTAAATTTCCCCTACTAATATACAAAATGCTCTAATACAACCAACATCATTGCCATTAGAATTTTAAGTTCAAAATCCATATAATGCAATAATTTTATGAGTTACCTAAAAACAAAATAAAATTTTTTAACTTAGAAATGCGAAGGTAAATCTAAAAAAAACACATATGTATTTGTCATGATAATGAAATTATGGGTCTGCTTCCCTTCTTTGAATATTGTTTGATATTTTCAGTAACTAAGAAACAATAATTATTTATGTGGTTAAAACACCAATGATCAAAAATTAGAAAAAACAATGGCGCTGCTAATGTTATACAAAAATGTTATACCTTTTTGTTTGTCTTTTTCGTCAAAATTTTTTGATTTTTTGACAGACAGACATAGAGAAGAGAAGATATTTTTGGAATTAAGAAAACATAAAAAAAAAGAAAAATAAATGTTGTTAATTTTTTATGTTAATCATTTTGTTTCTAGGTTTCATATTTTATGTTGTTTTTTTTTTTTTACTATTTTTATGATGACTTATGACTGACTATTAAATCACACGAAAATCATGTTATAAATAAATAGCGTAAATAGTAGAAACAGAAAAAAATTACAAATTAAAAACAAAAAAAAATATATTTGTTATTTAACAGCGTTTCTTATTTCTTTTAATTTGATAGTACGTAAACGGTTGAACTCTGATACAAGGTTTACACTGTTGTTCATTAATTTGTAAGATTAATTTGATTTGAACAAAATTGGATAAAAGTTTAACAGACTTATGTATAAACGGACGGTGAATTGTCGTTGAAAAAAAAATTTAAACTCATTTTTGGTTCTGTATAGTTGTATTTAAGTTAAATTCAAAAGTTGTGTCCAAATTCAAAATCAAAATTTTTTTAAATAACAAACTTATGTTTGAATATAAATTATTATAGGAACCTCAAACTTGTTTGAATACAAGTTTTATACGAGCGTTAAGTATGTTTCTATACAATTTTTATACGTCAGATTTGTTTTCATACAAGTTGTATACGAACTTCCAACTTGCTTGCATACAAGTTTTATACGACTGTCAAATTTGTTTTCATACAAGTTGCATACGAACGTCAAACTTATTTTTATATAAAATGTACATTTATAAATTTAATTCAACTTAAATAAGTAAAGCAGGGAATACGATTTAAAAATTTAATCTATAATTGCAAAGCAATAGTTGGGAAACTCTGTTCATGTCAATTCTAAAGTCCGATTCATTTGAATTGAGTGTAAAGAAAAAAAAACAAATCGAAAAATATCAAATCGTAAAAGAGACTTAGTTACGCTATTGTTTTTATTTTTTAATTTTTTTTTTCTCTACTTCTTATTCTCTACTACTCTGGCAATACCTGAATACTCATAAGAGATCGTATGTATGCATGCATGTAAAATAGAAAAAAAAAATACATTTTTTATATTTCTGTACATATACAGAGTTATACATAGGTAAGCATGTATGTTTGTACTTCCAAAAATATTGAAAAAAAAAATAACATTCCCAGGTTTTCTAAACTCTTTTGTTTATTTTTTTTTGGTTTTTGTTATTGCCTTACTTAAATTTTTTTTTTATTAAATTGTACAATGGTGTTTTGAATTATTTTCTTATATTGTATATTCTACTATATCTATTTTTAAACTGTAAAATTATGCTAAACTTATGAACCCTCCAGGTGTGTTATTGAACTCTCTGTTGTATGTTTTTTTTTTTTAAGTTAAGATCAGGTGTTTTTCATCTAATACGAATTTTCATTATTATTGTTATTATAAATTTTTTTTTTTGATATTGTCAGTTGTCACTCTATTTTTGTCTCTTTCTATTTATTATATTTTTCTCTTTCTTTCAACTTAATTTTGCCATTGTTATATTATTACTTTATAAATTCCCTTTTCACTTCTCTTCTTTTCTTGTTTAACATTTATTGTGAATTTTAAAGGTTAATTTTTTTTTTATTTTATATAATATGCACAAGAGTACCATATAAGAACTGTGTGCAATGGAAACACGTATATACGTCTACATATGTACATATATAATAATTTCACTGTTGGAGGTCATTATAAAGAGGCATTGCCTTTGATATTCCAAAAAAAAAAATTTATTTTATATCTTTTTCCATTATTTGGAAAATTATAATCGTACAACATAAATTTACATAAAACATTATTTTAGAGTCGGTAAAAAAAAAATTTAGTGTTTTTTTTTTTATTGTAATTAAAGTTTAAAAAAATGATTTTCAATTTCTCATATTTTCCAACACTAAATTAGAAAAAGATGAATTGTTATTGTTAAAATTATTGTTGTTGTTCTTTTTTTTAACTAAATAACTTTAAATATTTATTCAATTACAAAAAAATATTAATTTTTTTCCCATATTGATCTTCAACAGAAAGTTAACATTGATTATTTGATTTATTGTTAAGAATGTCATTTGAAAAAATATTGGAAAAAAAAAATTAATTACACTTATAAAAAATAATTAAGATTTATTTGAATTCATAAAAAATCAAGCTTGGTGTTTACAAGGTGTGTCAGAGAATGAATGTACTAAAAACAATCAAATAAATTTAATAATAACAATAATACAAAAAAAAATGAGTAAATAAATCAATAAAAAATATTTTTTCAATTGAAATTAACTATTTTGATATCTTTCGACAGGGTTACCACCTGCCAATTACTTTTGATTTCGATAAAAAATAAAAAAAAAAGTTAATGCATGTTAGACGTTTTTTGTAAAAATACTTGTTATATACGATTTCTAAAAGTAGATTTTGGATAACGTAGAAAACGTAATCAATGAGAAAAGTTAAATCAGAAATTAAAGATTATTTTAAAAATATTGTAATTGACATTTATTTTTTCTTTTTAGCAAATAATATTTGACACTTTTGCTTACACTTTTTCTTTAAAGGTAGTTTTCGAATAAAAACTATGTGTCAAATTCATGTACATTTTGAGATAAGTAATAACAAAAAAATCATGATATTTTTGAAATTTTGACAAGCTCGGGAACTAAAATTTTTTTATGATAGAGTAGTATTATAAAAATTAGAAAAAAATTAGGAATATATGCATTATAAATTGTAAACAATCTTTTTTTCCAAAAAATGATGAATATATCATTAAAAGTAAATTTAAAATTTTTGCATTACGTAATATACATGTCAATAATCTATAAGTGCTAGTTTTCAAATTTCCTTGTTCGAATTTAATGTAATATTAGGTACACACCCATATATAAAATTTAAATAAGCATATGTGCCAGAAATGCGTGCAAAAACTAAGTGTTAACAACGATTTATTAAAAAAAAA